GAACACTAACAGAATCAGGTCACTAGGCCTCAATAAATTTATGTTTCTGTTCTACACAAATGAGAGTATCAAGGCATAACTCAGCCTGGGTGTGTTAGCATTTCTGTACATTTGTCACTTCAATAAACTTACTGGAAGAAAAATACCAGTCCTTTCCTATTTATGTTGAAACTTATTTTTACAGTTCAGTAAATTTTCTGAACAAAACATGTCTGCCATAATAATTTGTCTGTCTGGTTTTGAAAAACAAGGCATTTAATACCACTGACTCATCTCTTCCAAATCCTCTTTTCCTAGGTACTTTCCTATCAGTTTTTCTTCCTGATTTTTTATTTTCTCTTTTAGTTCATTGAGGTTTGACAGATGTCTCTTGGAGTGAGGTAATGATGCAGCAAAGAGCATCTTCTTTCAAACCCTGTGCACATTTATCCGTGTGAGTTTAAACCACAACACTGGTCTAAACTCATACTGATAAATATATTAAAAATCTAATGTTAATACACTTTTATCTCCATAAACAGCTTTTCATAAAACAAGATAACAAAAAAGCAGTTCATTTTCTGCAGCCACTTACATACTTCTATAATTACAAAAGACTGGCCACAAATATGGTACGGTAGATTTTTTTCCTTTCCTACAGGAGCCTAGAAATGTGATTAGTTCATTACCACATAAAAGAGTTCAGTGTCTCAAAGACATTGCTACAAAATTTCCAAAAGATAATATGCACACACCATTAATGGATTGTGTAAAAGACACAAATTTGTATCCAGGAGGAGGTAGGGGAATTCCAATTTCTTAATTATTTGCAATTAATGCATTCTTTGTGACTCGTGATTGCCTGTGGGCTTAAGGTGAATGAAGAAAAAGGGGCTAATTCTTGTGTAATTCTAAACAGCTGCTTGAGAAAGGCATTTGTTTGTGCCTGTATTTCAAATTATGTGTTCTGTACTTTATACATAAAATTGCTACAAAACTTTAGAGATCAAGACACCCAACACATTTTTAAGTTATTTGAAATGTGTTTGAAGTTGTAAGCCTAAGCAGAGTTAGATGACAGAGCCCAAAAATGGAAAAGAATTGCCTCTATTGTAGAATACTTAAACTATGAGGTTAAAATGTGGTTTGGGACTGCTGTGCATCACAATGCTGCAATACACTGCACTCACTGGCAATAAGCTGCTAGTGAGCATAGAGCTCTGCCCCTGCAAGTGAGCTGCAAGAATGTCATTTTGGTTGTGTAAATTCAGCTCTACTAGTGACTTTTGCACCATCGATGGCAAAGGTCTCACACCTTTTCACACCCTGAGTGAGACATGAGGCTAAAAGATGCTGCTTTCTTGCTTGATACTCAGAAGTCTGCCCAGAACCAAGGCCATAGTGCTAACAGCAAGAATATACTGTGCAGAAAATGGTAATTGCCAAATTACCGGTTAAAGAGTGGAAAAACCCCACTG